GGGACACCTGAGTAGCTCAGTCAGTTAAGCGTCCGACTTTGGCCCAGGTCATGATCTCACAGTTCATGGGTTCAAGCCCCGTGTCAGGCTCTGTGCTGACAGCTCAGAGACTGGAGCCTGCTTCAGGTTCTGTGTCTCCCTCTCTCTCTGCCCCTCCCCTGCTCATTCTCTGTCTCTCTCAGAAATAAATAAAAACACTAAAAAATAAATAAATAAAACTCAGATTCTTGGATTTCAACTCTGGAGATTTATATAGATAGTGCCAAGGAATACTTCTTTTCTTTCTTTTTTTCCTTTTTTTCCAAAATCTTTTCAGGTTAGACTAAAGCAGTTAGCTTGATAAGTATCATTGTAGATGACCTGTATACCAATCAGCTTAGTCACCAAATAGGTATTGGACAGCCATTACATGTAAGGATCTAGCTTGTACTGTAGAGCAGTGATTCCCAACATGATTGATTATCAGAATTATATGGATTGGACTACCCACAGAGATTTTTTAATCCAGCATGTATGATGTTGAAAAACTGTGCATGTGAATTTGATGTGATACCCTGATTGAGAATAATTTTTACATGAAGATTTGTTCCTGAAATTTTGAACGCAAATTTAATAGTATTGAATTGATTGGGAAAGCATGCTGTTTAAAGAAAATTAGCATAAATCCTCCTACGTACATTTTAATGTGCATCAACACTGCAGTATCTTCTTTTTTAATTTCAGATTTTTCTGCATTTCAGTTTTGACTCACTGAAGTCAGAATATCAGCACACTCATATTACACTCGGAAATAATTTGCCATTGACAAGTAACTGTAGGTGAATATATTGAATTTAATTAAGGCCAAAACTCCACTTCTTGCATCAGGAATAACATTGTATAAGCTTAAATGTGATAGATCTAAAAGCTCATCATATTCATAGCAAATTCTAATCTCAGAATTTAATGCCCTCTAGTTTTGACAGATATGCCTCTTATATCCATTCCTTCCTTTCTGTGCTTGCTGCCCCTCCTGAGGCTTCAAGCCTCAATGACCCATTCCTGCAACTGATTCCTAATTCATATGCCCATTGTGAGCCACTTCATTTCCCTTTTTGAATGCAAAATTCAATCCAAATGCCCTAGTGAAGACAATTATGATTTGGCCTCATGGCAACCTTTCAATTATTGTCTTTCATATACTTGCCTCTCCCCAAGTACATTTATTCCAGTTTTTTTTTTACCTGAATTATATACACCTTTTAAATCTTAGTTCAGAACCTGTTCTCTAGAAAGCTTTTCCAAAAGTCCTCAGCAGGAACACACTGTACCTTGTGTTTTATATCACTTCTGACATTTCATATGGGGGTCATAGTTTTTTCTATACACTTGCTATACACTTACTAAAATTACTAAATTGTAAATTCCTTAAGATTAGGAATTATTTACTTGCTGTGTCACTTCCAACATGTGGATAGTTATGTACATATAATAGAAAAATTCAAGATAAACTTCAGGTTTTAGCTCCACCAAATAACAGATGTGACAAGTAATTTTGATTGTACTAAATCCCTATTTTCTAATCTTCAGAATATGGGAAATGCCACTTACCTCGCAGATTTGTTTTAAGGACTATAGGGGTAAGCTGTTGTTTTATTTGACACATAGAAGGCCTTCAATAGATGCTCATTCTTTTTTCTTATCTCTTTCCAGAATCTACCATAGTACTTTGAAACTAACTTCAATAAATATCACAAAGCTAGGGGCGCCTGGGTAGCTCAGTTGGTTAAGCGGCCGACTTCAGCTCAGGTCATGATTTCACAGTTTGTGAGTTCGAGCCCCGTGTCAGGCACTGTGCTGACAGCTCAGAGCCTGGAGCCTGCTTCAGATTCTGTCTCCCTTTCTCTCTGACCCTCCCCCGCTCACACTAGGTGTCTCTCTCTCTCTCAAAAATAAACAATCCAAAAATTATTTTAAATAAATAAATAAATAAATAAATAAATAAATAAATATCACAAAGTTAAATGATGCCTAAAGGCACTGATGACCTGAACAAGGGTAGTGTTATGGGAAATGAAAAGGAAGAGATGGATATGAAATAATGTTATAAGCTAAAATTGATATGAAATAGTGTTTTTCTGGGGAGAAGAAAGGCTGAGATTTTAAGCCTGGAATATTGTGCCATTTAATAAAGAAAAACAGACCAAGAACTTGTTTGAGGAAATGAGTCAAAGGCAGTACATCTAGGCAATACCATTCTAAAGAAAAAGGTGAAGGGGTGCCAGTAACTTCATGGGCTTCATGGAAATGATGTGGGGCACCAGTAATGAAAGTCTAGGTTAAAATACTCAGACTTGGTATTTCCAAATTTGAGTGTCAGTTTCGAACACTGAGTACTGAGACTTGGGGAAATCTGGAATTAAGTAATTCCAGATTTAATTCCATATTTAGGAGAGAAAGGAGTGTTAAATTTTAGGAATTATTGAACCTCTAAATTAGTAGTTTCCTTTTGTCTTCTTAAAAGATACATTCTCGGGGCGCCTGGGTGGCGCAGTCGGTTAAGCGTCCGACTTCAGCCAGGTCAAGATCTCGCGGTCCGTGAGTTCGAGCCCCGCGTCAGGCTCTGGGCTGATGGCTCGGAGCTTGGAGCCTGTTTCCGATGCTGTATCTCCCTCTCTCTCTGCCCCTCCCCCGTTCATGCTCTGTTTCTCTCTGTCCCAAAAATAAAATAAAAAAAAAAAAAAAAAAGATACATTCTCTCCATAAGTTATATTGCTGACAAATGAAATATTTACTAGTGAAAAATTTTAAAGGGAAATTTGAAATCTTACCAGCATACTCAGATTGCATATAATCGTTAATTCTGAAACAAGGGAAGTCCTGAAATGCATTTTAACCTCTTTATCTTGCTGAGTTTAGAGTCAGAGTTAGATAAATCATATATATTCTAAAGCAACCTAAAAAATTAAATTCAGAGGGGATGCTATCTATATATTACAGGGATAAATATTTAACTGTCAATCAAGGCATTTCTGACATGTTCCTAATTACAGTTATTCTTTATTTTTTAAAGTATAATTAACATACAGTGTTATATTAGTTGTAGATGTACTATATAATGATACAACAATTCTTTATGTTTCTCAGTGCTCATCAAAATAAGTGTACTCTTAATGCTTTTTATCTATTTCACTCCTTCCCCCACCCACCTTTCCTCTGGAAACCACAAGTTTTTGAGCTGTATTTAAGAGTCTGTTTTTTGGTTTGTATCTTTTTTACTTTGTTCATTTGTTTTGTTTCTTAAATTCTATGTATGAGTGAAATGGTATGGTATTTGTCTGTCTCTGACTGACTTATTTAACTTAGCATTCTACTTTCTAGATCCATCCATGTTGTTGCAGATGGCAAGATTTCATTCTTTTTTATGACTGAGTAATATTCCACATCTGAGTAAGATATCACATCTTTTTTATCCACTCATCTATGGATGGACACTTGGGTTGCTTCTATATTTGACTGTTGCAAATAATGCTGCAGTAAACATAGGGGTGCATGTATCTTTTCAAATTAGTGTGTTTGTTTTCTTTGGGTAAATACCCAGTGGTGGAATTAGTAGATCATATGGTAATTGTATGTTTAATTTTTGAGGAAGCTCCATACTGTTTTCCACAGTGACTGCACCAATGTTGCATTCCCACTGATAGCATATGAGGGTTCCTTTTTCTCCACATCCTCACCAACGCTTGTGATTTTTTTTGTGTTTTTTATTTTAGCCATTATGACAGGTATAATGACACTCATTGTGGTTTTAATTTCCATTGCCCTAATGATTAGTGATGTTAATTACAGTTATTCTTATCTTGGACAGTTTTTTAAATAAGCCTTTTTAGTGCATACAGTGATACTGAAAATTAAGCTTAGTTGAAGATATCCAAAATAACTTCTAAAATAAGTATATTTAAAAGCTTTTTTAAGTTTATTTATTTTGAAAGAGAGAGAGAGAGAGAATGGGCGAAGGCTAGACAGAGAGGGAGAGAGAATCCCAAGCTGGCTCCATGCTGTCAGCACAGAGCCCGAGGTGGGGCCAATCCCATGAACCACAAGATCATGACCTAAGCTGAAATCAAGAGCCATATGCTTAACTGACTGAAATAGAAAGGCTTACATGTATTTTGCAAAAATTAAAACAAGATAATTGAAAAGAATAAAATGATAAAATGTTAAATTTTCTCCCTTTGTTCCTTTTCTAACCCCATTTCCCAAAATTAACAACTTTTAAATTTAATTTATAACTTCTCATATTTTTTCTATGTGGTGTATATTTAATTTTTGTTAGTGTTGGGAATTTGATATATTTATTGTTCTACAATTTTTATCTATTTAATGTATTATTGGCATTTCTCCATAAATACGTGGTATCAGCTTATTCATTTAAATACCAAATAGCAAGTAAAATTTGATGTTTTGTGATTTATACCCTATAGATAAGCTAATAAACTTTGTCAGAATACATTGCAGCTGTTAAGAACTTTTGATAGAAGTGTGAACCTCAAGTGTAAATGCAGAAAGTTTCAATATGTGTTATTAATACAGTGAGAAACACTATAGTGTAATTTCTAGATGTTATTATATGTACATTATTTTATAGCTTTGAGGGGCTTGTGTGAGACATGTTTGGCCAGATGAACATGCTAGTTTAAAAAAAAAAAAAAACAATGGAGGATGTTGGTGCCCTAGATCATTCTATGAATTTCATGAAGTTACTGATACCCACATAAATATAACTTTCCTTTTGGAATGGTATTGCTTAGACTTATCATACTAAATAAGTAACTCTTGCTGTATCAGACATTGGAAGCATACTTAATATACACATTTTATTTAAATTGCATACTCGTTAAGCAAAAAGCTATTACTGTAGCCTCGCAAGTACTCAGATTTGAGGTGACATGTGAAATGAATGAAAATGATAACTTTAAGTATTAATTAATGTGTCTCACTTCCCTTTAATTTATTCATAGATATGACTTGGAATGAACAGGAAAAGACTGAACTTTTTACAGATAACTTTTGTAATATATGTGGAGTGGTGCTACAGTTTGAATCACAAAGGATTTCACATTATGAGGTAGGTTAAAAATAATGGGAATAGAATCTAATGTAGGCTTTTAAATGTGGCAGATAAACTTCATATTTTATCGTTTTTGGCTCTTATGAAAATCCTGTGAAGTAGGTGGAATTATTTCCCTTTGATGGATGATGAGACTGGCTCAGAGAGGGACAGTAACTTACTAGCTTAAGTTTGGGGAATTTGAGTTTAAAATCTTTTTGATTCCAAGCTTCTTTTCTTTTCTTCACACCATTCTGCCTCCCTTTGTATTCATCAAACCACTGTCTCTTCAAGTCCTTGTAGTAAATATAAGGGAGGCATTTTAAAGCTTGAGTAGGTAACTATTAATGTTAATCAAGGCATATTATAAAACTCCAGAGTCTTTGTGTACAGTAAATGAAGGCTATAAAAACAAAATGAACCTGTCTTGCATTTGACTTAGCCAACAGTTTTTTGTTTTTTTTTTTTTTAAATTTTTTTTTTCAACGTTTATTTATTTTTGGGACAGAGAGAGACAGAGCATGAACGGGGGAGGGGCAGAGAGAGAGGGAGACACAGAATCGGAAACAGGCTCCAGGCTCCGAGCCATCAACCCAGAGCCTGACGCGGGGCTCGAACTCACGGACCGCGAGATCGTGACCTGGCTGAAGTCGGATGCTTAACCGACTGCGCCACCCAGGCGCCCCAACCAACATGTTTTTAAGCACAGAACCATAAAATTCTAAAACTAGAAGAGGGAATATTTAATGTTCTTACTCCTTTGGTTTACTGATTAGAAAACTGAGTACCAGAGGGATCATGATTTTTCGTAGCATCATTGGCATGACTAAGCTTAACAATGATTCCTTCTTTCATGTCCAGTGTTCTTTTCTCTCATTTGGTGTTACCTCTCATTTCTATACAGTGAGCTATTGGATTTATTTCATATCTAAGGTCTGGGTTACTAAAAGTACTAGATAAATTTACTCTAAAAAATATAATGGCAGCTTTACTTTTTAAAACACATCTTGTCTTAGGGATGCCTGGTTGGCTCAGTCGGTTGAGCGTCTGACTTCGGCCTAGGTCATGATCTTGCTGTTTCAGAATTTGAGCCCTGCGTTGGGCTCTGTGCTGACAGCTCAGAGCCTGGAGCCTGTTTCAAATTCTGTGTCTCCCTCTCTCTCTCTGTCCTTCCCCCACTCACGCTCTGTCTCTCTCTTCCTCAAAAATAAAAATAAACATTAAAAAATTTTTTTAAAAATGTCTCATTTTGTCCATTGCTAATATTATTGGTAGCTATATTTCCTTCTTACGTTGACTGGGATTCAATTACTGTAATGACAGGGAAATTTTGTTAGATGTGGATTGAGAGGACATACATTCAAGCTTTAACTCCATCACTGCTGTGTAACCCTGGGCAAGTCATTTTACCTCTCTGAGCATGTTCCTTGACCCTGCAAAATAGGGGTGGTAAAATCTCTCTTATTAAACATGTGAGAATTAAATGAAATCAAATATGTGAGAGTGCCTAGTACATCTTCAGACGCCAGAGTTCAAAGATTCAGTAAGTAAAGAGAGACACACAATCAAGGGGCTCTGTGATAACTGTGGTTAGAACCATTTGAATTTAAATGTGAAAAAAACATCTTTTTATGGGCTTACGAAGTACTATTCAGCGTAGAAAATACACAAAATCATGAGAAAATCACATTCAGTTATAATTCTGTCACTTGTAGGTAACCATCACTTAACTTCTCTTTTGCTGATATGATTCCAGTATGCTTTCTGAACGTGCATACACACACACACACACACACACACACACACACACACACACACATCTTAACAAAAGAGAATTGTATCTGTTGGTTTTTACTTGTTTTTTCATATAAGAGCATATTCTGGACAATCTGCCCTATCATTACATCTTTTTATTTTTTTCTGTAATATTTTCATGGTGATAAGGCATTATGTAATGTTGTGGCTTTTTTATTAACAAATATTTATTGAGAACTTCCAGTATTTCAGAGCTTGGATTGTTAGGGGGATTAAATTATAAATAATATACTTTCCTTATTTTCATAGACTCTACAAATAATGCAGTCAATAAAAATGCACTGTAAAAAATGTATTATACTAAAAAGCAAACATAGATAAGTTTACACATTGTATGACTACAAAATGTTTGTTACTAGCCTATAATAAAAAGTTGGCACTTTATAAAATGAGATTGATATTTAAAACATTGCCAATTATAGTACTTTGAAAGTTTGTACATTTTCAAAAAGACTTTTTTTTAATAAAAACATTTTACAGAATTCTGAACCTTTGAAAAGCTATTCTACTCTGGAAAGTTTTGGGGAGAGCAAAGCTCAATTTCCTAAGAGCCAGGTTTGCTATTCACTATATTATGAAATAAGTACTTTTGAATGAATTGTTTTTCTTTAAAATTCCAAAATACATTTTTGAAACCCAATATAGTTTTTTTTTCAGATAAGCTAGATTTTATTTATTTATTTTATTTTTATTTTTTCCAATGTTTTTTATTTATTTTATTTTTTTTTAATTTTTATTTATATATGAAATTTATTGTC